TAACCTACATGTAAAGGTTCTATGTTCTTACTATTAATCGGCTTAAGGGGTGGTCACAAATGCATCATAGTTGAATGTTCAGTTGTGTAGCAAGTCTTCCGTATTTTGAGAGCACATGTGTGCATACGAACGACGACTTTATGATCGTGTAATGGGGACGAAGCGACTCCACAACTTGGTTCATCTATGCACTATGGCCAAGCCTTCTTGCCATGAAAGTTTTTAGGCATAAGCTAAATCTGGGAGGTGATAATGGGTTAGTTAAAGGTTAATGACTAGTAGAACTAAAGGTTGTTAGTCTAAAGGTATTTTAATGTGTTTGTGATAAACTTGGGGGTTATATGGTGAAGCAAAGGTAATTGTATAAAAAATATATACTTTGATTAATCCAACAACATATTATATAAAAATATATGTTTTTTATTATAGGGAATATTTCAAGCATCCCAAACTTCAACCCCACTGTAATCATATACTTAAGCATGGTGGCGTCCAAAGGGAAAAAAGAGCAAAAGAGTCACTAATAAGTTTTAGGAACTTGTTAATCGTTCACAGGGAGAAGGTTACACCCCTTCATGATCCTAGAGATCTCTACCTCCATAGTGGTCTGGAACCATGACTGGATATTCGGGGATGAAGGTACAAATCCAGCCTAAAAGAGATTGAACCCGCACTAAAATAGGCCTCTACTTTAATTTACTCTTCTCATATTCACGTGCGCGTTATGATAAACATACCATCATTAGGTTAACCTAAAACCTGTTTAATCTATGTTGGTTGAATATTAATGCACAAACAAATTATTGGCGATCACTTGAATTAAAATCATATTAGCCTAAACCAAATTATTAAATATCTTATTAACGTGATTTCAAGTACAAATTTCCTTTAAACCCGCAGCGAGGGCGTGATCAAGCAATAACAATAATGTACATCAAGCAACATAATAATTAATATCATGGACATAACAATTCATCACCATAATAATCTCATCATTAAAGCATAATAATATTAGCAAGATCCTAGGCATGATACTAACAAGACTAATAACAAACCCTAGCATGTCACTAAATAGTAAAGATCAAAGCTTTAGCCCTAACATGATACAAACATGATAGAAGAAAGAATAGTAAGCAACCTAAAGATGATACTAGGAAGCAATAGAAACATCTTAACATGATACTAGAAATTAAAAAAAAATAATCTAAACATGATTCCTATATCAAAAGAATAATTAAGTAATCAAACTACTTACTTTGATGCCTCGTATATCTTTCTATCAAAATAATACACGTATTAGAGAGAGAATAATATTTAACTTAGAGAGAGAAGAGAGATGATTGTTGGTGATCAAGATTGTTGATGATTTGAGAAAGGGGAGATATGACCTCTATATATAGGAAAAAAAGAGAGTCGAAGAATAAGAAAAGAATCCGAATTCAAATCGGAATAGAACTCGATGGACAACAGTTTTTGTGGATTTTGTTTTTATCATATTTTTTGATCCAAAAGTCCAAATAAGGCATATAATATGTTGTTGAAAAAAAATCTTGAAGTCTACTTTCTAACCAAATTGGAATCAGATTAAAATCTTTTGTAGATTACAAGATATGGCCGAAATAGTGGGACTATTATGAGGCACGAAAATAATATTTGATAACTATTATGAGGCACGAAAATAATATTTTGTAATAAGGACTCTTAAAAAGAAGAGTTTTATTCAATTTCGAATTCTTTAATCTTATCTTTTCAAAAATGGATAATTAAGATCTTTTAGAAATATATAGAAGCTTTCAATTAATCCTAATTAGTTTAGGAATGGGATTAAAAACTTTGGAACCTCCGCATGATCATTGGCTCGTTGGTAAAATCCGATTTGGGCTCAGTTTAGTATTTTGGCCATAACTTACTCATTATTCATCGGAATTAGACTTATAATATTTCGTTGGAAAGCTCTTTGTAATCCCCGTCCAACAACACAATTGTTGGACCTATATCATGGAAGAAACTAAAATGTATTGGACTTTTTTCCATAAATAGGGTACGAAAAGGAATATTTTCGAAAACAGAAAGAAGTATTTTTATTAAAACGACCGCATTCCACGAGGCTCTTTCACATTTCACCTCGTTCGACAATCAATGGCGTAAAAGATATTCATCATTGGGTTTAGTTTTTGGGGAGACACAATCAGGTGTCTACATTTATATATTAGTAAATAAAAGTTAAATTTGATATAAGAATAGTGCAAAAATCAAATTGATGCATTTAAAAAATATACAAAGAAGTTTCATATGTCGGGCCTCAGATACAATGCATAAAAACTAGGGGTGAGCAAAAATATATACGGGGTACTATGTCCCGGACCCAGAACTGGCTAGAACTTGTCGAGCTTAAAACTGGTTATAACTGGTTCAAATTCAAAATCTTCTTCAACCCAGTTGCCGACTTGTGCTAGAACCATTTCCACAACTGTATAACTCTTAGTCCACTTTATTTAGGAAGACATAGCCTCTTCGTTGGGCATATAAAATTCATAGCACAATATTAGTTTCTAACTAACCAGTCACCCACATGGCCACTTAAAATGAGTATTCTCTCACTTCTAACCCTAATTAACTCCTATCGTTCATCAGCCACATCTATCACCATTATCTACCATTCTACTTCATAGCTTCCACCCCTTAAAATTCTTTTAAAACTAATTTAGAGAACACTTTAAGAAATTAACTCACCCATCCGAGATCTTTTACTCCATTTTTAGATCTAAAACACATATTATTTCACTTAGTTGTTTGAAAAATTAGCCAAAAATAAGACCACCTTTCACCTGGCTTCCAAGAATAGAACGATCTTTGGATAATTTCAAAATAAAACGACCTTTGATACACATCTGCCAAAAATGAAATTTAACCGGTTGGTTACCTATTAAATAGGTTACTAGTGACACGTGTTACAATGTCATTGGTTAATTTTTTTAACAAATCTTTTTTAAAAAATACCTTAAATTTTTTTTTAAAATATTTAAATTTGAAAAAAAAAACTGAAATTAAAAAAAACACGCCCTATCCTTGTCGACATCCACCCCTATCACCGGGCCTCCCCATAACCACCGGCGGCCAGAGCCCCTACCTTGACGCCGACGACACCGCTCCTCAGACACCGACCACCCATATCCTTCCACTCAACCATCTTCGTCACACCCAAAACCCTACTCCTTCACCTCGAAAACCCTCTTCCCTCCCCTCAAAAACCCTCATTTCCCCACCAACCGGCACCCAAACCACCTCCATTGTGCTGGAGAACCAATTTTACCCTTCCGATAGTCATTTCCACCCCCTTCCCCCTTTGAACCACCATAGTAACTCTAAAACCCCAAAATCGAGTGGTCGTTTTAGGGTTCAAAATCCCATCGAACCCCAGAAATCCTATTTCTTGGGCGGGTGGCTCAAAGGTAAGGATCTTGGTCAAGAGGGATGCCATTGGTCAGTTTTTTCTTCGGTTTTAATTTTTTTTTAAAGTTTTTTTTTAAAAAAAACTAAAAAAAATGTTAAAATTAAATTAAATTATTTCAACCAATCACACATGTGACACTTGTCAAATGTAATCTTTAAAACAGGTTATATGTTTTTTGTTCTATTTTTTGCAAATGTGTAGCCAATGGCGTTTTATTTTGAAATAATCCAAGGGTCGTTCTAATCTTGGAAGACTGGTGAAAAGTGGTATTATTCCAGAAAAATTTTCCTAGTTTTTTTTTTTGGGGGGGGGGGCAATGAACAAGGCGTAACAGGTTAAAGTCATGGAGACGAAGAAGAGGGAGAAAATAATTAATGATGAGAAAGATGGATCAAGCTCTAACCCTACTCTTATTATTTTGAGTTTTTTGGTTGATTTTGTGTGATTCCGAGCTATTACATACGACAAATAATTAATAACTTTATAAAAATTTAATTTGACTCCTTTTTGCTAATCTTATTAAGATCTATCTTTCTATCCTTCTTAGTTTTCTAATATATTTTTATAGACAAGTGTATACAAAATTATAATTCGGAACGTCAGCCAAGAAACACACTACTTGATGAATATTAAGCAAGTCATGCTATTAAACCTTAGCAATTACCTTAAACTTAGCTTGTCAACTTACATGAATTAATTTCTATTAATTACTTAGTTTATCAACTTAAATCTTATACTTGAATCTTGTAATGTATAACTTTTTAATTTTTTAATTTATGTTTGCATCTTACACTTGAATTGATATCAAAGAAGATATTTTGATTTTAAAGAATCGAGAGTATAAATCTCATTTATGAAAAACACAAAAAAAAAAAAAAAAAATTCAATTGGATTTAAAAAAGGAAAATTTAACACCAGCAGTCCAAACTATGACTAACCTTATTTTTAAAGGGGTTAATTATTGATTAACTTAAGATGATCCTAACTAAAGGGGGGTCCTTATCAAAGAGTCCCGAATATATTTTTAAACGGTTTAAGTGCTTAATAGTTCCACATACATGCCTTGTTTTTGATAGGCGTAATTACAAAATAAATCCTCTACCATTATAAACACTACACCCCCTATCCCATTTACACCATTTTCATGTTAATTTTTGAAAGAAAACAGACCAGTAAAAATACATGTGTTTTAATCAGTTTATCTAGTCGATCATCATAAGCTAGGGACTATTTTAAGAATGACACTCCCAAAATTGGGACCACCATGAGTTAATCGATAGTTTTTTCCTTTAAAATGAAGTTTAAGATAACTTACTAACATATTTTATACATAGTTATAAATTTGAGCTTAGGCTTCCCTAAGTTGATATGAGCACAAACACATTTATAATCAACCCAAATAATAATCAACTAATTTACACTCTTAATTATATAATTTGATGCTTATAAGAACGAACATACATGCTTCTGTACAATACAATATTAAAATCTGAAACTTGAACTACATAAAACTATTATTAACAACACAACAATTTTAATACGACACGAAAAAAGTACTTATACAATAAAGATAAAACAAATCATGATCATGATAAACAAACACTAATTTTGTTTAAAGGCATTCATGCTACAAAGCGCATAATAAAGATTAAAAAGCGTACATAGTAATTAAAGGTGTTTCATGAATTATAATGGAGACATAAATTGCTACAAAAGATCATAAAAGTTAATTTATTCTATAGCAAGTAAACACAAATTTGTAGCATGATCCCCCATGATAATTAGTTGTCATCACCATGATATTAAAGTTTGAATTCATCAAGATTGGCTCCAACCTCATCAAGTGATTTCGAGAAAAAGCTTTTTATGAGGCCCTCAGTTGAGAATTTCTTATAAATAGGTGGATTTTCCTCTGATGTTAATTCCTTTATTGGACCATGTATCTTCTCGGATGAGTAAATTCCATTATAATTTATTGCAATGGAAATCCTTCGTCCAATTGTTTTCGCAATCACTCTATGACAAATTCCTTTTATCATATCATTAGTTATCATCTGTAAGATATAAGATAAATATTTATATAACACACCAACAAAAAGCTTACAAATTACACACTAGTATAAGAATTAGAAATTTTAATAATATAGTTTTAGAGGTAAAAATACAAAACCTGAAGTATTTTTCCAAAGTTAACAATCAAAGCACCAGAAATAGGCTCCACATTAACCCATTTTTTTTCATGAAGGACCTGGAGGCCACCAATATTGTCTTGTAAGAGTAATGTGATAAATGAAGTATCAACATGAGCATCTAATCCAATGGTCAATTCTGGTTCTGGACATGCTGGATAATAACTGTTAATTATGGCCCAGCTTTTTGTACATTTTGCCATATTTCCAAGACATTCGGGTTCAAGTCCAAGACCTAATGATATTGACATAAGTATGAGATCAGCAAGCTTATGGATATGGTTAACATACTCCAATGTCACATCCCTGCAAAAAAGAATTCATTATATAAAAATCAATATTTAAAACAAACTATTTGAAAAATATATAGTATAGTTATGTGTATGCAGATGTGAAGCAATTTAATTTGCATTGATGATGGTCTGAATTTGTTAAGGATAAACGCACTGGTGCTTTTATTTGGTTGCCTCATATGAAAAAAACCAATGACTATTATATACATTAGTTTCATTATCAGTTGATTTATATGTTGAGGGATGACAACGAGTTGAATTTGGATCAAATTTTATTGGATCCAGATCCACATTTAATCTCTAGAGGTGAATCTAATTCGTGAATCCAAAATTTTGGGATCTAGATCTAGATCAATCGAATCCATGTGAGCTTTTTTTGCAATAAAAAGTTATTATTTTAGATATTTCTTTTATAAAATCCAAGTGCAATGTTATTTTTAAGTTTATTTATTTGATTCCGCGCTTATACATCATTTTTTCAAAATAACAAAAACTAAAGATATAAAATCACTAAAAAATAATTCCTCCTTTTCATTTTAATTGACACGTTTCATTTATCCACAATTTTTCAATACATAACTTCAAATATTATATCAATTAATGTTTGAAAAAAAGAGACTGAGATAAATTAAACAAGACCTCTCATATTGATGTATCTATTAAGAATAAATCATAAAATAAGTCAAAGTAACTTATGTATTTAATGCTCTAATCAGTTAAAAAGAAACGGATGGCGTATATAGTAAAGAAATAAAAGTTTCTCAAATAAAATCAATAATATGAGAAACACTTAAAGTAAGATTTGTTGGCCGCCAGATCTAGACTAGGTCTAAAAACTAGTAATAGAGTAGATTATGCCTATCAGAAACAGATTTGGATCTATTGAGTCCAAAACTAGAGGATTTAGATCATACAAATTGGAACTAGACTCACCGTATCAGGATTAGATAGATAAAAGAACCATTTCCATCCCTACATATACTACTTATTTGTTTAAGACCAAGGCCTAATGCACTTTTTTTGTAGCAGACTATTTGATACATATATATAGCCTTAGATTTTTAGAAAAATTATATCTCCTCTGCCACGAACTAAAAATCTCGTTTGCCTTTACCACAAGTTTTGAAGAAGGAGAATAAAAAGAAAAACTATGGAGATTGGTTTTTTAAAGATAAATATTTATATAACAAGGGTTGTAGTTTAAAGTGAAAAAAAAAACAGATATTAAGGTTTGGTTGTTTAAAAGTAAACGGAAAAAAGTAAAATGGATTTTTGTTTAGGTACAAGGTTTATGAGTGAATTAGAAATTATTTTAGTTGTGAAGAGAGTATATATCTTATGTATGATAACAACATTTTTGTAACTTAATATTGGAAAATAAATAAGTGTGCATTGTGTGAGACAAATAATTAACTTACTTGTATATAGGAGGCAACTCTTGAGGATCAACTTCACCATTAGTAAGTCGAGCGTTCACATACAAAGTGTCTCTCCAATTTGCAGCCTTTGACTGATACAAGTCATGGTTGCTAAAAAAGTACACATGCTTTGATTGAAAATCGCGACTATAGAACAATTTTTTAGTCTCGGCATCTTGTTCATGAAACATTCGACTTCGTTCAATCATTAATTCTAACAACTCCTTAGGAATCCCATGGTTTATCACTTGAAAAAAACCCCATTCCTTTGATGCCATAATAGTTTCCTTGATGATCTCAGCAGTGCGATCTTCATTTTCACCAAAATGTGAAAAATCTATTACCGGCACACTTATATCATCAGAATATGTACCAAAATCTTTTAAACGATCCTCAATCGGTCTAACAAATATGCCAGGAATTTTTTGGATTCCTGCATCTACAAGCCCTTTCACCCCAAGTTTTCCTTCATCGAATTCCTTAAGTTCTTTAAGTCGATCATGACTACTTTGTGTTTCATTAAAGGCGTTTTGGGTATCCATTGGATTTTACAACCTTTCTTTGATGAAATAACTTTAAAAGAATTTTTTTTTTGTTTTCTTTAGGCTTTTATTATTTTAGAGTTGATGAAAAATCTAAAAAAAATTGATCATTATATAACATTCGTAGATCAAATGCGTGAGGAAATCATGGGCTAATCAAAACGCTTATCCATGTGAATCTCATTAATTTATTAAAAAAATTAATAGACAACTAATAAATTGGTAAAATCAGATTGTTTATCCATGTGAATCTCATTAATTGGAGTGCTAAGCCAATGTAATCACTTATTATCCATGTGAATCTCATCAATTGGAAATAATCAATAGACAAGCTAGTGTGATCACTTGTTTATCCATGTGAATCTCATTAATTGGAAATAATCAATAGACAGCTATGCTAGTGTAATCACCTTTCTTATCCATGTGAATCTCATTAATTGGAAATAATCAATAGACAGCTATGCCAGTGTAATCACCTTTCCTATCCATGTGAATCTCATTAATTAGAAATAATCAAATAATCAACAGACAACTATGCTAGTGTAATCACCTTTCTTATCCATGTGAATCTCATTAAATGAAAATTAAATAATCAATAGACAGCTAAGCTAGTGTAATTACTTGCTTATCCATGTGAATCTCATTAAATAGAAATAATCAATAGATAGATAAAATAGTGTCATCACTTGATAATTCATGTGAATCTCATTAATAGGAAACAATCAATAGACAACTAAGCTAGTGTAATCACTTGCTTATCCATGTGAATCTCATTAAATAGAAATAATCAACAGACAACTTAAAAAGTGTAATCACTTGATAATTCATGTGAATCGCATTAATAGGAAATAATCAATAGACAATTAAGCTAGTGTAATCACTTTCTTATCCATGTGAATCTCATTAAATAGAACTAATCAACAGACAACTAAAGTAGTGTAATCACTTGATAGTTCTTATGAATCTCATTGATAGGAAACAATCAATTGATAGTAAGCTAGTGTAATCACTTGCTTATACATGTGAATCTCAATAATTGAAAATAATTACTAGACAAGCTAGTGTAATAACCTTTATTTTTCATGTGAATCTCATTAATTGGAAATAATCAATAGACAAATATGATAGTTTATGTAATCACTTACTTATCCATGTGAATCTCTTTATTGAAAATCAAATAATCAATAGACAGCTAATAAGATAGTGTACCATGTGAGTCTCATTAATTGGAAATAATCTTTAGAAAGCTAAGCTATAGTGTAACCACTTGCTTATCCATGTGAATCTCATCAACTGAAAAAAATCAAAAGACAACTAATTTAAGCTATTGTAGTCACCTTGATTATCCATGCATGTGATTCTCATTGGGAAATAATCAATAGACAACTAAGCTACTAAATGAGATGCATACGCAAGGTCATTGCTTTATCATATGAGAAAATAGTCTTCTTCAACTCTTCACGATATACTCTGTAATGCCTAGTATTTTCAAACCACTATTTTATGTGCATTTTAACATATTAAACCTAATTATTAATTTAAAATCTCAAATTCTAATTAATGTTAATTAAATCATCAAAATCGGTATTCTAATTTATGTGTCATCCCAAGCCCAAAACCCTAATTTTAATATTTTGACGAAACAATTTAAATTTATTATTTAAAAGGTTTTTAATTTGAGTTTTAATAAATTCATTATATTGGACATGTTAGAATCAATATTAGCCTCAAAGGGTGATTCCTTAACCTTAAGCATCAATTCAGTAAGTGTTACACATAAATTATATGTAATTTTGATGTTTAATGTATTGTGATTGATATGAGTCATCATGGGTGATTCCTAGACTACAGTGCCGATTCGATAATTATAAAATGATTTTAGGGTTTTTAAGGCGTTTTATGTTCAATCATATCAATATTGACATATGAAGTTATATAGGGTGATTTCTTCAATTCGTTTATCAAATTGATATTGTTTATAAACAATTATTTAGCTCTTCTATTTATAAAATTCATTATAATGTCAATTAGATCATTAGAAATGAATAATATTATTGGTTTTACATTTGTCTTTTTATGTCACTTTTCTATCAATATGAACACACACACACACACACACACACACACACACATATATATATATATATATATTCGTATCGTGATTTAAATTATTGTTTTCATTATTGTTATTATTGTAATTACTTTTGATATTATTATTAACATCGTCCCTTATTACTGGCACATTTTCTTAAGCTTCTGAAATATTGGTTCACATATTGTTGTTAGCTTGGATATGAACCTACTTATGTATTGCAACTGACCAATAAATCCTCGAATTTGCTTCTCGGTTTTGGGCGGCGACATTGACATGATTACCTTGATCTTGGTTGGGTCTATCTCTATTACTCTAGAGCTTATGACGTATCCCAAGAATTTTCTTGAGGTGACTCCAAAAGCACACTTAGGTGGATTCAACCTCGTGTTGTATTTCCTTATCTATTCGAAGAATTTTCTTAAGGCTACTTGATATCCTGGACGATCTTTTGATTTTACAATCATGTCATCCACATACACTTCAACTTCCTTGTGCATCATGTCATGGAGTAGGGCAGTTGCTGCTCGTTGGTAAATGGCACCCGCATTTTTGAACCCGAATGACATTACCATGTAAGAGTGAGTACCCCAAGATGTTATGAATGTTGTTTTCTCCATGTCTTCTTCTTCCATGAGAATCTAGTTGTACCCTGCGTATCCATCCATGAATGAGAGAAGCGCGTGATTCGCTGTATTATCTACCAAGATGTCGATGTGTGGTAAAGGGAAGTCGTCCTTTGGACTTACTTTATTTAGATCTTGATAGTCAACACACATTCTTACCCTTTCATCCTTCTTTGGAACTGGGACCACATTTGCGACCCATTCGGGGTATTTGGATACATTGATAAAACCTGCAGTTATTTGTTTTTGAACTTCTTTTTTTATTTTAAGAGCTACGTCGGGTTTCATTCGACATAACTTTTGTTTTACAGGTTTCATTCCTGGTATAAATGGTATAGTGTGTTGAGCTATTTCTCTATTAATTCCTGGCATATCTTCATATGACCAAGCAAATACATCGATGAATTCTTTAAGTAAATTGATTAAATCGCTTCTTTCATCTTTATTAAGTGTTAGTCCAATTTTAACCTCTCTTCTAATGGTTGGATCTTTTGAGATATCAACCGTTTTAGTGTCTTCAATTACCGGTATTTTATTTTCAAGTGTTTCCATTACTTTAATGATTTCTTTGTCACTTTCATTATTAGTTAAGCAATGCTCGTCATCTTGGGTTAATGAATGACACGAGGAGTACAAGGAAGAAGACATATTATAGAATTCGGAAATCATTACATCAAATAAAGATATGTCCGCTGGGACTTGTTTACTAACTAACTATTCTAGGAGTAGTTGCTAAAATAGAAGAATTAGGAGAAGGTGCTAAAGCTAAGGACTTAGAAGACTCGATAGGGAAAGAATTTGAATCGGACTCTGACTCCGACGACTCTTCAAACATTGGTCCTTGTCCTGTTGTTATAGCGATCTTTCTTTTGCTTGGAGTAGTCACCTTCACGGTCTTTTGCCATCCTTGAGTTAGTCCCTTCGCTGGAGTAATAAGCTTTGAAGGATCAAAGCTCTCACTTTGTAGAACCTTTTGAATGAGCATTAGACTTCTCCCGGGCTCACTTAAGATCTTTTAGAGTCTGTTCGAAACCAAGTCCAAAAGTGTCCAATTTAGGGAGACCAGGTAGTCCCATTTGTTTTGCTATCTCTTTTTTTCTTTCCAAGAGTCATTCTAGGAAAGTGTCCCTGTTTTCTGAGGATAACGTTTACCGTCATGTTAGAGGGGAGGTCATAGTAAAGAAGGGTTCTTTCATCCTCCTCGATTAAGGAGACCTCTTCGTTAAAGCCCCACAAATCTTCATCGTTCTCATCGTGCTTCACGTTGATGATTGGATTTTCAATGGCCTTGATTCTCATGGGTGAAGCATCAATTGTATAAAGGATTCCTCCAACTATAGACTTCACTTGTTGATGAAGGGATGAAGGGATGAAGGGACGACCTTAAGGTTATGAAGCCAAGGGCGTCCCAAAAATAAGTTGAAAGATGCTTTAATATCTACCACTTGAAAAGTAGTAGCATGTTATATAGCTCCTGCTGTTACATTCATAGTAATTGTCCCAAGAGCTTGGCGATGAGTATTGTCATAAGCCCTTATTCCTTGTGTAGATGGGGACAAATCTTCGTCCCTTATTCCTAACATTCTCGTAGTTCGAAGTGGACAGACATTGATTGCTGATCCATTGTCTACAAGAGTCATTGGGACATTCATTCTATTGCAAATTACCGTGAGATTTAAGGCTTTATTGTGTTTGTCACCTTCTGGGGGTAAATCTTTGTCAGAAAAAGTGATCAAGTTGATGGGACAAGGAAGATCACTCGTGAGAAAATTAGCTAACCCCTCAGGAGTGGTTTCAGAATCTATTCCTACCTTAGCTAGAGCATCCATGACTGCAACTCTATGCTCGCGGGATGTAGCTAAGAGTTTCCATACATTCATCTCTGCCTTAGTCTTTTTCAGTTGTTTGACAACATCGTTGTTTTCTATGATAGGTATGGGAACTTGTTGGGTAGTAGGAATTGATTGTGTGGTAATGGGAGGTTGCATTCTCCCAGATCTTGTGAGAACATCTATGGGTGAATCTTCTTCATCCCATATATTGTCTACTGGGTATATTGTGGAAAGTGGGGGTTTGTTCCACATCTTTGAAGTAGACGTCCTCATCGTCACTTTCCCAGACTCCGCTGATCAATTCTGAAAATACCTCTCTGTCTGATTGAATTTGAACCAACTTTTTATTATCAATCAGCTTTTGAATTAAATCCTTAAATTAAAAAAAAATGTTCTATAGTATGTCCCCCTGATTGATGGTATGGACAATAGTACTTATCTGTCCTCTTTAATGGTTCAAATGGTCTCGGTTCGAGAGGTTTGATCTTGCCACTCTCGGAGAGCACTTTGAACATGTTAGCATTGGAAGTCCCAATTGGAGTGTAAGGTTTGTTGCTCCTTTTGGGTGTATCGACTACTTGGAGAGAAAATGGCTTCCTCTTAGTAATTTACATGGGTAGAACCTTGTCATTGACATGCTTGCTTTGTTCCAACTTTGTGCGTTTAAGAACTTTACTACACATGTCTATTGTTTTCTGCATTGTATTTATGAGAA